GTAATGAGGTAATTTTATTATTATTATTATTGAATATATGATAAAACTCTCCAGAAAGAGATATTCCCTCTTGTCCGAAATGCGGTAATTTTTACAAATGCATGCATACTTAAATTTTTAAAAGCCCTTGGCATATAATGTATGCATACACACACGCGCGTGTGCGCAAAATTGTCCAATTGTTAGATTAAGATTTGAACCGTTGTATCTTAGAAATGATTAAAGATATCTTACTGGAATTCTACGAGTTTTTTTTTTATAAAACTATTGGACTCTACTTAAGAAGAAATAATTACAGAAGAATTGTGACGAAATCGATCATAAAAGAAAATCCCATGTTCATCATGAACTTTGAAGATGGAAGCCAGAGTATGAATGTTGGTATCATTACTGAAGGCCTGAATGGTCTATTTCCTCTCACCATTGCTCAGTTGGGAAGACAGTGAGTCTGACACAAAACAATTTTAACCTGTTCTCTTTTTAACTGAATAAGTCAAAGGGTTTTTCAGTAATTCTTACAACAAATGGTGTCAAGATGGCTAAACGTCTTATGCAAAAACCTGGAAAAAACACAATTAGTTTAGTGTTTTTTTAGATATTAAACATTATGTAGGGTGGATAATGATGCTGTTACAGGATTTGGACAATTATGCTGTTCCATATGGGATAGTCTATATATATATATATATATATATATATATATATATATATATATATATTATGAAATGAACAAAGTCCGACAATTATTTTTTTAAAACATAAAAATGTATATATATATATATATATATATATTATAATTTTTCATATAGACAAAAACAATTTACTGACTACAAAGATGCAAACTCGTTTCTGTGCATTTAGTTGCACCTCGACTGGTGAGTACCAAAATGGTTATATATAAATATTTTGTTTCTCATCAGCCGAGATGCAACTAAATGCACTCAGTGATTACATCTTTGTAGTGAATAAATTGATTTTTTCCATAGGAAAATATTATAATAAATAATTATTGCTCTACTCTTGGTATTAAGCACTCATTTTGAATTAATGCTGTGAACGATAGAATTTATATATTATTTTCAGTTCTCATTATATATATATATATATATATATATATATATATATATATATATATATGCATATGTGTGTGTGTGTTTGTGTGTTTGTGTGAATTTCTTTTAAACATATTTCGTTGAATATATTAAAAGAATATTTAATTGTTTTTTATTTATTTTACTCAGCATTCCTACATTTTCTGTTCTAGTAAGGGAGTGCAAAAATTCTATGTTCTGTCCATTATCTCAAGCGTATTCGGCCACTTGTTTAGCCATTTTCAAGGATGGTATATATACATACATATATATAGAAAGAGAGACAGAGACAGTGTGTGTACGTATGTATGCGTGTGTATTACGTATACTTATTTTCTGAATTTTTATCAGGAATTTCCACTGTATAATGCTAGATCTATGAGATTATTAATTAGCAGTGTATTAAGTGCTTTGCCACTCCCTCTTCTTTTTCGGCTCGGTTTCTGTAGTATTGCCCCTTGGACCAACACTCACTCACGTTTCAGATTAAGTTTCTTGGAGAATTGCTGTGGCTTGTTGATGAGAAAGTGGCAACTTGAAATTGAAAAGGGAACCCCGTTTTCGAAAAACTCACTGATGACGTAAACAGCTGAAAGAATAATTCTGGTCTATTCAGATAAGAAAGGGCGACTGCTACTAGATTTTGATAACGGGGAAAATAAAGTGTTAAACTGCGTTCTCTCTTGAAGTGTTCGCCGTGGTGGACTGACCAGCAGACAATATGGTTCCACGTTTATAGAATCTGAATTCGTTTTTTCCTGTCAACTTGATTAAGAAAAGTCATTATTCACAACTCGTCTTAGACTAAAATATTTTGGTTATCAAAGATATAGATAAGAATGTCGTCCCCCAAGTGTGCTTTAAGCTGTCATACCCAATTAAAGGGTCATTCTTCAAATTCCATTGTTTAATGGGCATCATCGTATATCACTATGTTTGCTCTCTATTTTCTGCCCTCTTTGATTCTCCTTACTCTCCTTCCCTTGAGCTTTTTTTTCCTTCTCTGTGTTTTTTTTTAAATGACACCTCAGATTCTCCCTCGTCTTCTCATACTCTTTCGTATTCTCCATCATTATTCTCTCACTGCCTTTTTTTTTTTTAGTTTCTTTGTTACTTCCCCTGTCTTTCTTTCTCTTTCTCTCTGTTTCTGGTTTTGTTTAGCGTGTTACGGTTTTGTATTCTTAATCACATCAGAAATTATGATTTTCAAGATAAAGTCTTTTTCCTTTTTCTTCTCACTGTTATCCACTACTCTCTCCCCAGTCTCTCGATTGTTGTTGTTGTTGTTGTTGTTGTTGTTGTTCTTCTTCTTCTTCTTCTTCTTCTTCTTCTTCTTCTTCTTCTTCTTCTTCAGTCGCTAGTTCCGCTAGCTTTATTGAGTGATACCGACGGATAATCCTGCTTTCTTTTCCCTCCTCGGCTGTGGCCAGCGTGTTGTCTCCATAGGGATAATTCGGGTTTCCCAAAATCTTACGATATTGGGCAATGACTGCGAAGTCTAGTGTGGACCCATCTATATACGCAGTGTACAACATATAAGATTGCGTAATTCCTGTATGTGGCCATGATAACATTTTTCTCTGTTGAAAACTTTTGGAATCAGGGGTAGAATAAGAAGCCCTTCAATGAAATGTATCATACTGTTGATAAGTCTATAGATCGATTGAATATAAAGAAAAACGGATGAATAAAATGTCTCTGTTATTTACCCCAAAATCAAGTTCTCTACTACCGGCTGCTGATTTGAGAAATCTAGTTGCAAACGCTAAAGTAATAACCAGTCAGTCGACTCTCACACAATTCTTCTGACATGCATATGTCTGTGTTTTCACTCTGGCCACATGACTTGAGAGTACGTTCTTTAGCAACAAATGTTTTACGAAACAGTTCCGGGCAGGTCCGCGCCCTCTTACTCCTGGGCATGTCTGTGTGTGTGTGTCCTTGAGCGTAGTGGATTCTCGTTTATATAGACGACCCCACCTAATTTGACATTGATATATCTATTTTCCCCAACCAAACTTCTTAATCTTAGGAGCTGAATTAAACAAGATCCAGATGATTTCTTTGTCTAGAAGAATTTGGGTCACTCACAGGTTTTGGACAGATAGCATAATGTAAACAAACCCTCGAATTTTATTTCTCAGGACCAAAAAATTTAGACAAACACATTAATAAAATCTTCTTCTTACCGGTGGGAAGTGGATAGGGTGTGCTAATTTGGTTTTGCTCAATTTTACTGAATTTTGGCTTGTTAATTCTGTGTTCCATTCTCCTTGGGACAATTCTCAAATTCATTTTATTGTTTTAAAACAATTTTTTACCTGTTTCTTTTTTCATTCTTTCTCACCCATTCTAACTACTCACCTGAGAATTTTAATAATTAATATCCAATTAGTAGTCCCTCCAAATCACCATCCTACAATTTTATGCAATTAAACGTTTAAACAGGGTCAGTGCCATGTTACATCACTCTCTTTCGTATTCTCCGCCATTATTTGTCTCTTTACTTTTAAAACCAGTTTCTCTTTTCCTCCCTCCTTATACGTTTTCTCTCTCGCATCTATTTCTCTCTCTCTTTTTCTCTCACTCTCTCTTTTCTCTCTCTCTCTCAATATATATATATATATATATATATATATATAGAGAGAGAGAGAGAGAGAGAGAGAGATAATATTAGTGGAAAATATACATACATATGCAAAATATATAAATACACATACATGTATATTTTTAGAAAAAAATTCCAAGAGGAAGAATCCAGGTAGAACTCAATGTCCAGGACAGAGTAAGGATATAATAAAAAGGCTTAAATACTAATATTCCATGGTCATAAAACAGAAAGAAAGTGGGTTTTTTTCTGTTTTCTTTTTGAATTTGTAGGTCTGATGAATTGAATCGTATTTACGATTCCAATGGAATAAATTATGACCATGGAATATTAGTATTTAAGCCTTTTTATTATTATATATATATATATCAAGATGAGATGTTTTTTCTATTTTCTCTGTCGGGGTACACTGTCTACTAACGACTGTATGTGTGTTTTTAAAATCTGAAACATTTATTTCACTGATATTGTTAGATAGTTTCAAATTATCGGCGGATCTTTTCGTCACTTAGTCTTGGTCTGGTTCATTAATGATCGTATTATTCTCATGAATATTGGTGAGTTGTTTATGAATATTGTCGAATTGTTTATGAATTTTAGCGAATGAAATTATATAGGATTTTGGATATTTTAAAAATGACCTAAGCATAAGCCATATTAGCCTACGTCCTCAAGGTACATAGCCTTTAAAACATAGTTATTTATTCTGAATATTTAGCATTGTGTGAAAATTATCTTCTTAATATTCATGAAACATCCAGTTATATTAATGAAATATTGCTCCAGAATTATGAAATAATCCGCCATTTTGATAAAAAGATCCGCCATTAAATTAAAACAGTCCGACATTAATGAAACACTGTATATTGTATAATCAGCAACTCCATCTTCTCAGTTCTGTTTTCGCTTTTAGTTTAACCTCTTTGTTGTTTGTCTAAATTAGGACTTTTTTCTTCTCTATGTAATTTTAATATCTTCACCAAAACAAAGATAATCTCACAAAGCATATTTTCAATTATGGAATAGAACGCTATGCAATGCATATTCGGAATAATGGAGATTAAAGAAAAAAATGAAGTCACATTGCTCGCAACTTTAAATAATGACTTATTACGAAGAGGATTGCTTCTAATAGTTATCTTTCTTTTCGTCTTTTGATCTCATTCACTGTTTCTCATACACGTTGTTTATTTACTGTTCTCTTGATTACTCTCTAAATTATGTTCGAGTTTATTTTGTCTTTTGTATGGGTTTAGGGTGGGGGCGTCATTTATTTCTAAATTTCTGTAATTCTCTGTCTTTTGGCTCTCTCTCTCTCTCTCTATCTCTCTCTCTCCCTCTCTCTCTCTCTCTCTCTTCATATGCTTGAGCGCCCTTTCTATTCTGCTTTCTTTGCTTTTTCTTTCGTTTCCCTTCATCAACCTATTATCTTGTATATCTCTCTTTGTTTCGAGAGAGAAACAAAATCTATCTATCTATCTATCTATCTATCTATCTACTTCAGTCTGAGCATGTTATCTATGTTCATATATCTTTCTACCTTTCTTATTCAAGTCGGTAGCGGGGAGATCTGAAGTCTCTAGTTGGTTGACTGAAGGTTGTGAGTCCATTCACTGCGCTGGGCAGTAAATTTTATTTTTATTTTTCTCTTTCTCCACGTGTTCATATCTATCTATCTATCTATCTATCTATCTATCTATTTTAATCTATTCCTGCCTATATATCTATCTATATATCTTTGTTCATAATCTATTCTTATACATCTACCTTTGTTCATATCTATCTCGGTATCTATCTATCTATCTTATTTTTTTCATATTTATCTATCTTAGTTGATATCTATCTTAGTCTGTTCGTATCTATCTATCTTAGTCTGTGCGTATCTATCTTAGTCTGTTCATATCTATCATCAATCTATCTTTGTTCGTATCTAAGTCTGTTCGTATCTATCTATCATAGTCTATTCCTATATATGTGTGTGTGTATGTGTGTGTGTTCATATATCTGTCTACCTTTCTTCGTATGCCTCTCACATTTCTTCAGAATCTATCCATCTTTTCACTCTCTGTTGTTACTGCTTCTCTCTTTCTGACTATCTCTGTCTCTCACACAAACACGCACGCACGCACACACACGCACATTTCTTCGTTTTTATTTTGGTTCTCTTTTCTACCTTCTCTTCCTCACTTTCCCTCTCCTCTCGCTCTCATTCTGTCTCTCTCGGCCTTTTCGCTTTTATCTTTGTCGTTCCTGCTCGTCTATCTCATTCTCTTATTTCTCTCTCTCTCTCTCATTGTCTTGGTTTGCGTTCTTCGTTTTCATTTTCGTTGTTTCTTCTTTTCTTACCATCATCCCCACTCTCTCTCTTTCTTTCTTTCTTTTTTCTTTCTTTTTCTTTTTTCTTTCTTTCTTTCCTTCCCAGTTGCTATCTATCTAACTGACCCTGTCTTTCTCATTCTCTCTATCTCCCATTGTCTTGGCATTTTCATTTTTGTTTTCTCCCTTCACCCCCCTCTCTCTCTCCCTCTCTCTCTCTCTCTCTCTCTCTCTCTTTCTCATTCTCATTCTCTTTCCCTCTCTTATCCGCTGGCTTCAATGAATTTTCTCGAATTAAAAAATAATTACCCACACCGTACCATTTTCTTTTGCCCAGTACCACAATTAGCAGATACCTTACTGAAAAACACAATTTCTGAACATTCATTTCAACGCTAATCATATTTTCGTAATTAAGGACACAGAATACGCTTTTGTATCCAGGCGAATCATGCGAACATTCGGATGCTTGCCCCGTCAAACGTGGGTCTTAGTAAAAGCTATCCACGCGAAATCTGTCTCACAACCTTTTAAGCATGTTACAAAAAATATTAAATGCAAACATCTCTCTGCCCTTATGTCAAAAATGACTGCTGGGATAAAAGATGTTCACTTGTCAAATTGTGCATAGTTACATTTAAAAAAAAAAAAAAAGAAATGCTTGGTGCCGATGAAATCGGAATACGATATTACTTTTTATTTTATTTTATTTCATGCACACAAATATTTCGTCAGTTAATCTCGGCCAGATTTTGGTATGTGGCCTCCGGTGGCCCCTCCCACCAGTCCGACACGCGGATCTTACATTCTAAGGAGGAGGTGAAATTATCCAAATCCTTTCTGAAACTGTTGTTTTTTACAGGGTCTCTATAAATTATCTGTTCAATTTTTAAACTTCATAAAAATTGAAATAACTCTATGGAGTTGATTGGAAAACATATATATTCAAATTTTATTCAAGTTTTATTTAAAAACATCAGAACAGTTCCACATCGTCTCCATTGGTTGAGTGCAACACGTCTAAACGATGATCATTCTTTTTTTGTTTTTTGTTTTTTTGGGGGGTACTTTCTGATTCAATAAACTTCTTGTGCCAGACACCGATGCTAACACATTTTGATGTTTTCATTTCATGCTATTTTCTGTAATGATGCTGAGTGCTCTTTTAAGTGTCGATAGACCAGGTTGCACATTACGCTTTCTCTTGCGATGTCGTCCTTTTCATTAAAAAAAAAGTCAGGGATCAATGAAAAGCACTTTTGACATCTGCCTGAAAAGACAAATGAAAGTGAATTAAAAACTAACGAATCTAATATAAATTAAAACTTAAATCATATTTCTTTAACACGCAAAAGCGTGCTCTGATTTCCCGAGGAAAATAATCTGATTAAAGAGGATGCGCTTTCCTTCAAAAGGGAAAATAGAACCTTGTTTGCTGCGAGGTTTTCCGTGGCCGAGCGGTAAAACACGCTGGATCACATAGTGGTTTCATCTACAATGTGGGCAGCAGGTTCTTTAATATGTTTTCTCGAATGCGCAGGCCTACAGATGATAATATGCACTGTTTAATAAATAAAAAAATGGGGAGTCTATTTGTTGTGGATTCCGGGATGAAATCCGGTACCAATAAATGACAAACGCAAGGAATGAATATAGGAAAAATAATGTATTAACGTAATAATACAAACTGGTAAAGCAGGTTAGTAGTTCCAGGAATACGGGTTAGTAGCAAAATATCTATACAATCTTTGGTATTGAAATATCGCTGTATGACTTCTTACTGAGTCTACGTGCTTGCTCACTGTGACTCTTTGATCGGTACGTTCGTTCTGTCTGTTACCTTCACCCTCTGTTGCTCTCGTCTCTCGGGTCTTCACGTAGCAGTAGTATATGTATATACTGGGTGAGTCCATTTGTGTAAAAAGGTGAGAACCCCTCAATACTATTTAGAATAGGAAGTATGCAATATAATAACTTTTGTAGTAATAAAATGCCGGATTTAAAACAAATCCATTCTTTGCAGATGGATATTCAGTGTGTCCGTAAATTAAATTTCCACAGTTTATTTCATCCATTAGCGTTAAGATCAATTTATAAACTTCTTTTTATGTTAAAGAAATATTATTAAAGTTTTAATTTATATATAATTTTTTCTTTTCTAATTCATTTTCGTTTGTCTTGTCGGTTAGATTTTAAAAGTGCTTATCATCGATCCCTGACTTTTTCATAAAAAGGACGACATCGCAAGAGAATGTGTATCCTGGTCCATCGACACCAAAAGGGACACTCAGGCCCAGCGCCATTACAATAAATAGTATGAAAAGAAAACATCATGTTGTGTTAGCATCACTGCCTGGTACAAGGACTTTTATAGAATCAGAAAGTATCCTGCAAAAAAAAAAAAAAAACACTGATCATCGTCTAAATCTGTCACGTTATACAAATGGAGACCATGATATATTCAAATAAAAATGATGTATTCAAATAAAAAATTTGATTATGTATGTTTCCCAACCAACCTCGTAGAGATATCTTTATTTTTTTTAATTTTTAAATATACAAGAAGTTTATAGAATCAGAAAGTACCTGATAGTAAGGGGTGCTTTCTTTTTTTTTTTCTTTCCCTAAAACCAAACAGCGTACTTGATTCATATTTTCTTCCGTCTATCCCTGCAATCAAACAGGAATGGCCAATTGGTTATCTAAGGTAATGACAGGGCGTAACGGACGTTCTAACTAATCAATTCTGGAACGAAGAAATTCGCAGAATAATAAAAAGAAAGGAAGAATGAAACGAATAATAACTAAACAAATTTTATCATTTATCCTTCCATTCTATCTTTCCGTCTATAGAGAAATTACCATTCTTAAAAACATTTCTTAAAAACGACGAAATAAATAAAAATGAATAAATGAAACGAATAAAATAATATAAAAAATAAAAATAAAATATATGAAAATAAAAAATAAAATAAAATAAAAACGAAGAAACGTTTCTTAAAAACGAAGACATACGCAGAATAATAAAAAGAATGAATTAAAGAAAAAATGACAGCATAAATGTTATCACTGTTCCTTTCATTCTTTCGTTCCTTCTATAGAGATATCACTATTCTTCCCGAGCTCAAAAATGGGAAAATTGTATAACCGTCTATTTGGTAAAGAAACTCAAAATTCAAAACTGCTGAGAAGGCAACGAAGAACTTTTTCATTATCATTAAGAAGTTTACAGCAATTCACATTTAATAGAGAAAAGGAGTCTGTGGAGAGACATAATCGCCTACGTCCTGAAAGAGCATGGCATTATGAGGCCATTACAATATGCCTCTACTCAAGCCTTGCCCAAACCCAAACATAGGAGTATATAAGACGAATAGCAATCTATATAAAAGTTTCTTTTTGTACTTTAAATAACGGGAAAAAGAAAAGTTTCTTTTTTTAAATTTTGTAGGTCTGATGATTTGGATCAGGATCATGATTCCAATGTAATAAATTATAACCATGGAATATTAGTGTTTGAGCCTTTTTTATATATATATATATATATATATATATATATATATATATATATATATATATATATATAGTGAATTTTTGAAGTCAACAATCAGAGGTGACAGGCTGTTTCATGCTAGATGCAATTGTCAGGCCGCCTGATGATTGCGTCTAGCATGAAACAGCCTGTTGCCTCTGAATGTTGACTTCAAAGTTCACTTTTATATTTATATTTACATACACTCTTTCTCTGATACTGAGCACTTTATCACATAAATATAGCACACCTTAAAACTATATTTCTTCATACATATATATATATATGTGTGTGTGTGTGTGTGTGTGTAAAAATATATAGAAAATAGGAAAATGCAACAGAGCTTGGTACTTTAATTGAATTTCATTCAAATAATTTTATTGAAGTTTTTCGGCTCTTGTTTTGAAACATGAGAACTCTTATGTAGCATTGGAATCATATTTTTAAATAAATAATATATATATATATATATATATATATATATATATATATATATATATATATATATATTGCAACATTATCTTATAGATCAGGGGTCACCAAACTTTTTTTTTTACAGATGGTCAAATAATAGAGAGAATGACGAGTGTGGGCCAGATAACCATTTTCTTCAATGCAATGCATTGAATGCACAAAAAACTAAAGACAACAAACATATTTATTTAGTAAAAAGTTATCCAAGAAGGCGACAATAGCAATAAAATAGTTATATTACACCAAGTGCGCACATGTCCGAATCTCACAAACTAAGCAGCACAAAAGATTAGTGAGATTTGTGAAACCGGCGTTTACCTTTTCAGATATAATTAATATTTTTGTTTGGCATTGCTGCATCCACCCAAGAGAAATGCTTTCAACTGTTAATCAGTCAACCTCATTAAATGTAATGATTTTACATACTTTAGATTTTATAAGTTCAGGCAAAATATACTGCATAAGTCACTCCTTTTTTATATACGACACTCAAACCGGTTTAAACGTAGCAATGCAAGTTAAAACATAATTGCTGCATCAGGATCGTAATCACTTTGCTTAAAAACTTTATTTCAGGTACTTACATAAAAACGTTCGGATATAAAAAAAGTCGCCGAATTTTTTATTTCACTGATTTTCCTAAAACTTATATTACAGTCAGATGCAAAAATCACATTGGCCAAATTTAGGCATTTTACTTACGTTTATTTTTCTACATAGTAAGTTTAACTAAAATCTATTGGTAATTCCATATAAATAATTATATTTTAGCTCATTTATAGCATAGTGGGGCGAAGTGCCGGGTGAACAGACATCGGGGATCGGATCCGGCCCGCGGGCCGTAGTTGTTGACCCCTGTTATAGATTTTGGCGTCTATTAAATTTGAAAAAAGGGGGAGATACCTCATCGCCGAACAGTGATTTCCAAAACCAGTTTCACAGATCATTAATATTAACACTGTATTGAGTTTAAATCCGTATTTAGTGCTACAGACATGGGGCCTTGTGCCAAACTAACTTAGTTTTTTTTCTTTCTAAAATATCGTTAGTTTTGATGTCTCGCCATAAAGCAATGTTTAGCTTCTCAAACAATTATGTAATGCGTTTGATCCTGAGTGTGTCATGCCTGTCGCCATGTACCGGGTTGACTGGCTACAATCAAGGTTGATAGATGGTTTATCAGCTTTTTTTTTCCAGATTCCTCATGGACTGAACATGTGAGCAACGACGAAGTTTTTGAGAAATGGAAACAAAACCGGCACTTATTATTAACATTAGATAAAGACAGTTGACATTTCTAAGGTACATAATGATGAAAGCGGGCTTGGCA